TGGGTGCCTGGTAGGCAGTCCCATTCCCTGTTCAAAATGTGGCCCAAGTTAGGAAGCATTGTGACTAGCACATCTCATGTAAACCGCCTAGAGACCCCCAAGGGGGTTAGGGCGGTATAAGAAATCGAAATAATAATAATAATAATAATAATAATAATAATAATAATAATAATAATAATAATAATGTTTAAAGTAGTAAAATGTTAGATTTTATACAAAAGTTAAGTATTGCATATATTTTGTCTTGTACATGATTTACACATACCACACACATGTGGCTTCCTAATTTCAGGATATTTGAAATTGATAACTATGACTCATAGTGCCCATTTATACTCAAGATTACCTCCCAGAAGGCAGCGCTACAGCAGACTCGGATTTAGGGGGAGGATCTACAAATACTCCCCCTAACATTATGTACACAACCTCTCAAGAATGCCAGACTCGACTGTGTTACGAAACAGGAATTTGCCCTTGCCAGAATTGGGGTCTGCTAGACTGAGCTCAGATAACAATTTTAAGTGCTATTATAAATAGGAATAAAATTAGGACTTGTTCTTATAGACTATCTTAACTCTGTGAGACCTGATTATAATGTAGTGCCCTATTAAAATAGCATATGCACAGGAGTGGACAGTTTTAACACTACAGAGTGGATATTGTATTTGGATTTATGTAATCTACCTCTTCGTAGGTCTAATTTTATGTGTAAAAATATGAGTCTTCCTCCCTCTACTAGAAATCTTGTGCTGATTCCTTTTTTATTGCCAGGTGCTAATGCGTGGGTCCCATTCCTTGCAGTCATTTCCTTAACACCTGAGGAGGTGCTAAATACAGTCTGGTGTCACTTCAGTAATCAAACAGCAGTTTCACACTTTATCTGTGCTTGAGAAGAGCATATAACAACCCAGCTAATCAAAATGTGATCATATAAAGAGAGTTAATGAAGCCCTAAAACGTTTAAATGATGTGTCCATACAAGAGGTTTTATTCATTTAACGGGAGCATCTGTCTGTCACTGATGAGACCATACGGCTCTGTTACTGACATGTGCCATATACAGATGTGCCATAGAGGGCATTCTTTCCCTGACAGTCATGCTGTACAAAGTGATAATGGATAATGAGATGGACAGAACAGAATAAGTGCTGCGTGTGACGGATGTAGAATTCTAAAAGTAGATTCCTGCAACTTGCTTTGAATTTATTTGACCATGCTCACAACTCTGAAAATATGTGAGAGGTTGATAGTATTTACCAATTTATTTACTTGAGTTATTTATCGTCTGCCTTCTTACTGAGACTCAAGGTGGATCACACAGCACAAGTCAAAAACAATCAAGAGGATGGAATGTCTGATAAACGATGCAATAAGATTTGAATTGCAGAAATATGAAACAGAGCTGAAAACGAGTAAGCACTAACATGACATGTTAAACATTGCAGAAATTACACAGTAGGATCATCTTACAAAAAAATTGGGCAGTAATAATGACTTGAGTACCACTGAAATGAGAACTGTTAAAACTCATTTGTACCTGTTTAAATTGTGGACTTGTTTCATCAGTAATCATTTTGTACTGTTTCTTTTTCCTTATTTATATTTTATTTATACCTTCAATTTATATACTGCTCAGACCCGAAGGTCTCTGAGCAGTTTACAGGGAAGTTTCAAATGCACTTTAATTCCTTAACTACGGCCACATAGTAATGGGGTGGGGCTGCCTACCGGCACCCAGGTGACAGGCTGGTTGTTGTTTCCTGGCTCCGGTATTCTTCCTTCAGATAGTCCTTGGGGTGGGCGTCCCATTTTTCTGGTGTCCTCTAGCTCAGCGGTCTCCTGGAGCGTGGCCCGTGTCAGTTCTAGCCCGGCCTACGTCCATATTCGGCTCCGCCGCGCCTGTGCCTCCATGCCACCGCGTGTGTCCTGTATCCTGGACTTAGCTTTTACTAAAGCTCTGTGTTGCCAAACAACAATGTGGTTGAAATAATAATGATTTGAGTTATTAGTTTGTGCACAGAGAAAGGGAAAGGGGAGAGAAGGGGGAAAGGGAATGATACAAAAGTATATATATAAAAATACAATTTAACTTTCTGCATGCAAATTTTCTCATTAGAACTTAACTACTACATCTATCATTCTTATTATTCTTCATTTAATCTTATTTTCTCAGTACTTTTTAACCAATCATAAAACGCCCTCCAAGGTCCCATAAATTCTTCTTCCATTTTTTCTTTTAATATATTTGTGAATCTGTCCATCTCAGCACATTCCATAATCTTCTATATCAACTCATACAACATTGGGATCTTCAATGTCCTCCATGGCATTGCAAATGGGATTTGTTTTTTGCTTTCAAGTTGCAGCTGACTTATGGTGACCCCGTAGGGTTTTCAAGGCAAGAGACATTCAGAGGTGGTTTGCCACTGGCTGCCCCACTACATAGTGACCCTGGTATTCCTTGGTGGTCTCCCATCCAAGTACTAACCAGGGTCAGCCCTGCTTAGGTTCTAAGATCTGAGGAGAGCAGGCTAGTCTGGGCTATCCAGGTCAGGCCTACTAATGGGATACAACTTGTAGTAATAAGACGGAAGACAGTAGTGGAATAATATTAATTTGTATAATGCAGCCAGGTTGTGTACCAGAATATGAGAGGGAACAGCAGAACTTGTTCTTATTCTTGAATCTCGGAAGTACTGGGCTTACTACATGATCCACTGGAGAAAGTGTATACACAGACCCTGCAGATTGCTAACCCATTGTGCTCAGAAGTCTGTCAGCAAGCTGCCAATATGTTTCCATGTACTCTGTGTATGCTTTTGGAGTTCACTGGTATCTGTGTATGCTCTTCTGTATCTCTATTCTCTAGGTATGCGCTTGTTTCCTTTCACTTTCCCATGTATGCCTGTTTATGTGCTTAATTGCATAGTTGCCGAACATCTGTATCTCTCAAGGCCGCAGGTGGTTGCTGGCGGGTAGTAGCTTGAGTGATCTCATGGCATTATCCATGAGAAGCAGTATGTTATGATTAAGTAGGAGCGTTGCTTCCCAGGCTCAATGGTGCGCGCAGGAAGTCCCGCAATTGGGCCTCTGCTTTTTGAATTTGCTATAATCTATGGGGCTCCGTGTTTGTGCCTCATTCTGAACAGGGTTCCTGTTATGCACCTATTGCTTCAAATAAAGTAAAACCTTTTCTACAAGTGTGTACTCAGTTGATGCGATGGGAGTCTGACAAAGTCACACACACCCCATTGCTCAGAGAGTTGCCTCACCTAAAGAACTGTAATCATGTTTCCTGTGGAATGTCCCTTTTTCAGAAATGTGCTGTGTATGTTTTTCTTGTTAGTGACATTTGGAACACAGGTGAATAGGAAAATGTGTATTGTATGTATATAGTGTATATAATCATACACACGCATTGATCAGCTGCAAGGAAGATGAAAGAATGAAAATGAAGTTACCTCTCCTCCCTTTTGCATCTGCCCAGCTCCACTGATTGAAGACAGAAAAGGTGGCCATTTCATCCTCTTTCCAGAAATCAGAAGGGGCTGCTAGAATGGAGAGGACTATAGGAAACTGCATGCTTCTATGGATGCATCATTGGATACAAGCCAATGTTGTGTTTTTTCATAGTAAAAAAGTTATGTCATTGTGCGTTGTAAAGCTTTCAAATGTTTTGGGATTAAACATGTAGGAGCTTCAGGTGCATCCATGGGCACGGCCAGTGGGTTTTGTTTGTTTGTTTTGTTTTAACTTTCCTTTGAATGGCAGACACCTCATGTTATGTTACAAATTGCTTTCAAAGTTCCTGGGAGTTTCAAAATAATTTTACCATGTGAAATGAGGATAGGGTTGCTGTTCTCAAGAATTCAAAGCTTTCTTCAGTGCACAAGAACGCATGTAATTTTCACTGCATTGTTCTGTTGTTGCAATGTTGGGTTATCTCAAATTCAGAATTTTGCTTCTTAAACAAGGGAAATAAACAGATAAAAACTGGAAGTTCAGCAATAATGCCATTCACAGTAGAGCAGGATTAGTGCACCTTAAATATAGGCCAGAGTTGTAAATAAGATCTTAATTTAGTTCCGAATGTTCACTATTTCTAGGCTGGAGCGAACAGTTGCCAGATACACCAGTGGATGAATCTATTCCTGCTTCTGAAAATACAGAGAAGATTAAAAAACGTTACAGGAAAAAGAAAAACAAGCTTGAAGAAACCTTTCCAGTGTACTTGCAGGTACAGTCATCGCTATGCAAAGTATGCTGCTTAAAATTAACATTTGCATATATTGAATAAACTGTTAATGGGTGTAAGACATAAACATTTGCTTTCTAATGTGTAATTCATTAAGTTGGTTTTGCATAAAGAGAGATCATTTAAACAATCGTATGCTATTAAGTAATAAAATGAAAACCATCTATTTTGTTCTAATTTGCTAATTATTTTGCTTTACAGGAAAATACAATGTTACATTAATATACACAGGATGCTTTTGAATGAATTTCATAAATATAGATAATTAATTGTATGGATTGATTCTTGTAAAACAGACCCTTTTCATATCTCTTTGGATATAAAATAGGCAATAACAATATTTAACTTGTATTACTTTTCCATTTATCACTTAAAGTAAATTCAAAGTAGAAGAGAACAATTTAGCTTCGGTTTTTACATGCAAAAGTTACTAGTCGTCTTGTAAATGAATTGCATTTTTCATCTAGCAAACAATGTAAAGCAGAATAAATTCAGTCTGATAAAAATAGCACTAACAAATCAATTGTGGCCTTCCATACCAGTTCAACTTCTCCTGTACGGGGAATTGTGTGGATTACTAAGAAAAGAATGTTTTGAAAATTTTAAATTTTGCTTCCTTTTAATTGCAGGAAGCATTCTTTGGGAAAGATCTCCTAGACACCAGTAGGCAAAGTAAACCAAGTTTAGATAATTTATCTGAAGAAAGCCTTAACATTTCATGCAAAGTAAATTTGAATACAAGCTTCTTAGATCCATCTTCAGACCTACTACTCAGCGCAACTTCTACTCCAGCTCCATCAAAACTTGGAATACAAGGTATTTAGAAAATTAAAATTGGGCTTAGTTTATAATTGTAAAGGCCATGAAGTGGAAGAGTTGTGGAGTATGCAGGCAGCTTGGAATGGATGCTTCTTGGAAAGAGTTTGAGAGGAAGAATTTTTTTGTGGGACTGCTGAAAAGTAGAGTTGCAGAAGGGATGGTGGAAGATGAATATGTATTTGATGGCCTTTTAGCACCAGGAAAAATACCTTTTTACCGATTGCAGATATTTTTACTTTTTTTGTTGCTGGCACCCTGTGTTCTGCCCACTTTTACTCTTTTAAGTAACAGAAACAGAAGATAATATTTGTTTTGGTAGTGTTTTAAATGTCTGTATTGTTGTTTTGTTGTGTTTCTTGCATTGTGTTTACTATTTTAATTAGGGCTGCCAAGTGGGGGCGGGTGGCGGGTAAACCGCCACTTTGGAGGCCCGATTTCCGATGCCACGGAATCGGGCCCCAGGGGAAAACCCACCCCTGCGTGCACTATGGTTTTCCCTTGTATGGCTGTGGCCCCGCCCCCAGCGTGCCTGGCGTTCTCCTGTCACTTCCGGGTGATGTGCGTGCGGTGCATGCGCGCTTTGAGCATGCACGCATGCACCAGACGCCAGCTGGGAGCCCCCCGCTCCCGGTGAAGACACACTTGGCAACCCTAATTTTAATGTTTATTTCTGTTAAACCAATTTTGCCCTATACCACCTCAGGAACTTCACTTACAGAGTGAGATAAATATATTAAATAATTGTTAAATATCTGAAATGATAGACTTGCAGGCGGGGCCCTAATAAAGTATTTTCTTGCTTCTCCTTGCCCCCCACCCCCCCGCGGATTCTGGCTATGGGAAGAAGACTGGAGTGCAAAAAGCATAACACTCAAGCTGAATCTGGCAAAGATGGAAGTAAATCCTGGGGACTTCTGCGATTTATTTATTTAAAATAATTTTCTGCCATCTTTCTATCTTAAAAACATAATTTAAGAATACATAACATAGTCAGAATATCGCCTGAACAGAAGCAAATCTTATACATATCCTCCTTTCCGAAAACTGTTTTTTTGAACAGTTTCCAGGAGACAGCTCCACACGGTGGGTGTCATTATTCTAAATTTCCCTGCCTCTGACCAGCTCACATGGCATAGTGAAGGCACAGTAATGAAGGCCTGCTACCCTGATTTTAATTGGTACATGGGTTCTTAAGGAGAGGTGCTCTTTCAGGTGTAGGGATCCCAAGCTGTGAAGGGCTTTAAAGTTTGAGGAAAGATCCTCAGATTAAACCCAGAAACTGCAAACCAGTGTGCAAAAGAAATTGAATATTGTTGTTCCTCTAAACATTAGGTAGGAGTCATGCCATGACAGTTATGGTAGCACTTATAATTGTCTAACAGTATGAGGAAGGCTCAGTCTCTGAGCTAGGATGGACCCATGCAGTAGCATTATAGGTCAATTTCAAAAGAGATGGGACAATAAGTAAGCTCCCTGATTGGAGAAGAATACAGTGGATGAGTAACAATATTTGATGTTAGGTCAGATAGATACATTGATGAAGAAATGTAACAGATCATGGTTATGACAAGGAGTTAGAGTGAAGTATCTGTTTAATTGGTACATGGGTTCTTAAAGAGAGGTGCTCTTTCAGGTGTAGGGATCCCAAGCTGTGAAGGGCTTTAAAGTTTGAGGAAAGATCCTCAGATTAAACCCAGAAACTGCAAACCAGTGTGCAAAAGAAATTGAATATTGTTGTTCCTCTAAACATTAGGTAGGAGTCATGCCATGACAGTTATGGTAGCACTTATAATTGTCTAACAGTATGAGGAAGGCTCAGTCTCTGAGCTAGGATGGACCCATGCAGTAGCATTATAGGTCAATTTCAAAAGAGATGGGACAATAAGTAAGCTCCCTGATTGGAGAAGAATACAGTGGATGAGTAACAATATTTGATGTTAGGTCAGATAGATACATTGATGAAGAAATGTAACAGATCATGGTTATGACAAGGAGTTAGAGTGAAGTATCTGTTTTTTGTAGGTACCTCTGATGATCCTTTAGCAGCCCTTTCAGATGTGTTGAACACTGAAGAGGATATTCTTGGAATACTCTCTGATGATTTGGTGAAATCTGGGGAACATTCAGGTATATGTTTCTAGAGTTGGTTCTGGTATACAAACTCATCCAGCATCCTGTTCACAATTTTATGCTATTAGTTATGTATACATGCATTTGTCTTACCTGTTCTTCAACTAGCAAAGGGCTTCTATCTTGTTTTGATCAATAAATTTCCTGTTTATTTTAATTTGCACTTTGCTTTGCTGTTGGTATGGGGATAATGTTAAAAAAAATCTTTTGATGTCTGTCACACCCATGTGCAATTTCAGCATGCAGCTGTATATACTTTTAGTTTAAGTTCTTCCTTGCTTTTTCAGCCTTTTTTCCCTTTTCTTATTATAATCATCCATTTTATCTGGTTTGGATCCTGTAGGTCTTGATTTATGCACTTTCCAGGTTGAGAACTCATCTTCCCCATTTGGTAAGAAAATAAACCATGGATGATCCATCGTTAGAAGTAGTAATCTTTCCAAGTGGTTTCAGCTGACTTTTGTTTTGATGTGCTTCTGTAAATCTCTTTTTTTTTCACAACTCACTACAATACTTTGATTTCTCACTACCTCTGTGGGCAAAGGCTTGCTCAGTGCTAATAGCCTACCTCAGCAGTGCACCTGGTAGAGTTTGAACGTATTGTTGAAAACATTTTAAATAACTACACATTTTGGATGTGTGTGTGAGACAGAGAGAGCATGCATTTTGCTGTACAAAATATGTTTTCTTTCTGCACTATTACAAAGCATAATATGTCTCTAATCGTGGTGGCAGACTGTCTTTTTATTTTATTGTAATCTCAAAAGCATGAATATAAGATTAACTTCTGTTTTTAGTTTGACCGTAAGTGGTCATTGGCTCAGTAACCTCCCGTTGCAAACCTGAAACACATGCAGTTTGAGCCATTTATTTAAACAAAAGCAAGGTTTATTTATAGTGACTCCCAAGTTTGTATCTTTATTTTGGTGAGTAAGTGTCGAGTCAGGTATGGATCTTTGTTAAATAACACTTATACAAAACCTTTGATTTATATTGGGACACCTTATCAATACCATCTGCACTGAGGCAAGATCTATAAGTAGACTTCTTCACATTTGTATCATGTTAGAAATCTAGTATTTCAGGCTTCTATAATGCGTGCTTACTAAAACCCAGTTGAGCTCAGGCAACTTGAGAAAGTGAAATCCTGTCCAGTAGTTGGCTAGCCAGTGTAATAAAGAAATGTTTTCCTGCCTTATTATTTTAAAGTG